CATCCTTTTAAAAATTCAGCTTTCTAGCTTTTCTGGTTCGTGAGTTATCAACTTACCCGAAAAAAATTAGCGGGCCCGTACGCGGGTACCACGCCTACCCGGGGACTGGGTTTCAGCTCATTAATACCTACTCGGATAGGGAACATCCCCTTAAAATTTCAGCCTTCTGGCCTTTCTGGTTCGTGAGTTAGCAACTTGCCCGTAAAAAACATTGGCGGGCTCTTACGTAGGTACCACGCTTACTCGGGGGCTGGGTTTGAGCTCATTAATACCCACTTGGACGGGGAATATCCTCTTAACATTTCAGCTTTCTAGCTTTTCTGGTTCGCGAGTTAGCAGCTTACCCGTAAAAAAGTTTGGCGGGTTCTTACGTGGGAACCACGCGGGTAAGACCGCCCACTTTAGGGATGGGGCCCGTACGCGCATATAGATTATGTCTCCAAAGTTTCAGCCCTGTAGCTTTCGCCGGTCTCGAAATGAAAAATCGGTACAGACGAACACACAGAAAACCCCCAAGTTTGACAACGCAGAACATCATCCTTTTTCTCAAGAAAATGTTTTTCTTTTTTTTAAAAAAAAGATGGATACCGTCATATCGTGCTAAAACAGCCTGCGCATCGGCATATGCCTGCTGCTCCAATAATACTTCGATCAGATTTTCATGAATATTCATAACATTGAGCATTGGAAATTCCTTGATCAGCTGCAACAGGACACTGACACATCGGCATACAGCGGAGCATATTAATTGGAATAAAAAAATACTTTATAGTTGGAATAAGATAAAAACAAATAATGCTAAGAAATTAGAAGTAGTAAAATTACTTTAATAAGAATATTATAACGGTACAAAATGTTTCGGTCCACTAAGTGAACCACTGCTCAGAATTTAAGCAAACACTGCATATTACTATGCATGCAAAATCCTCATCCGGATTTTTCTGAATAATCCCTGTTTAAAAGTGAGGTGGCTTACATCGCGCATCATTTTTACTGCTTCTCGCAATCGCCCTTGTCGTCGTGCACACATTGCTAGTCGCCGACGTACAAAAACAAGCAAATTAACGTCACGTCCTAGAATACCATTCCATGGAAAACACACTACATCATTACTCAAATATCACATTGGGGGCCCACCAGTAGCGGCGCTTCGACAAAGTCGTGAATCTACGACTATCACCGTGGAAATTTTTAAAAACGACAAACAAGTCAACATTACCGAAAAAATCACATCACTCCCGTTTGGGTTCGATTCATGCTGCGAAAGTCGTGGCATCGGGCTTTTTTCTTGTCCAGGTGAGGTTTTAATTCGCGTTCAACAATGCTAATTCCCCCTCAACACCAAGTTGCATAAAAAACCCACACGAACCTCCCTCCCATAGACCGAACTCTGCTTCCAACTCATACTTCCAAGAAAGTTCTGAGCTCCTTTTCGGTTAATAACTCTATTCCCTCCCCTCCACTACAAAATTGGAGGCCTAAACCCCTTCTTTCCACTCCCAGTCCTCTATACCCCCATTCTCCAGTCATTTCAACTTGTCTCCTGACCTGATCGGGCCGAGTTTAAGCAGCTGCCGAAATATCGAACCAAAACGTGATCATAAGTCTACAGATTATACTGAGATGTGTAACAATCAACAACAGCGAAAAAGTGGTTTACTATGAATAGGATCAGATGCCAAATCATAGTGTACTTGTGACTGCGACTTTCGATAATTCGCTTCAGTGACTTTCAATGCTCGCCTGAAAAATTTGTCCAGATCTTATGCCCATTTTTGATGGTACCACAAAGAGGAAAACTGACATGATAATGCGCGAGTACAAGATCCACTACTGAGGCTATCGCATTAAAAAATAACTGGCCAACGCACGGGCTGTCCGTGCGAAGATGCGTTTTTTGCATAGTTCCCCGCAGTTTT